ACAATTATTTTTGGTTAAAAGTTAGAGAAATAGTATCATAAATTATTTTATAGCATATTGGAATTAAGATTTGAATTCTCATAAATATTAGCAATATTAATCAATACAATGATACAAGGGAATGATAAGCATAATCTACGAAAAGCTTTTAATAAACTTTCAATACAAAAATAGTTACTATTATCAAAAAAAAAAAAATAAATAGTTTTTAATCGTAAAACAATAGAAATATTTATTCCAATGGGGAACCCAATATATGGTAACTACAATGCTATATACATAGAATTGTTTAAAAACCTCTTTCAAAAGTTATTAACCGATATATCAAATCAAGACATTTCCATTAACGCATGCACTTCAGTAATGCACATTGGATATATATATCTTGTCAGCGTGCACTATGCACTGAACACACGGCTACACGTCAAGCTACACAAAACCAATATAAACCGACCGTTCGAACGAACAGATAATCATACAAAGCGGGGCCACGATAAACTGGTTACGTATAACTTTACGTACGTACAGTCATGAACACAAATTGAGTTCACAATCACAGTGCATTTGTCTGAGATCACGGGCCGTGAAGTGATTATCTTTTTGGGTGTACTGTACCTACTCGTACGATACGGCTCGGTACGCACGACCTGCTCGTAAAATCTATCCTACAAGCATTCAAGATGCTTAAACGATTTATAAATAGGTGGTTAAACATTTTTTTTAATATTCTAAGGAAATTCGTAAAAAACTCGAGTTCTTCGCAATTTGCCTGTTGGCTGCATGTTGATTTGGTTGCTAAGCAACGTGTCATACGTTTGGGTTTCGCATGGAAAATATCTCTTTGTGTGATTAATTAATTATTTGTTTGACACATTAGTAATCGCTTATCATAAGGTGGTTGCACTTGATCCCTATTTCATAAAAAATAGCGTTGGCACATTTCTAAGGTATGAAATTTTCTTTCATTAAACTACTTCTTCCTACTGCTGTGCTACTTCTTTCTTTACTACACTATATAACATATTATTTGTACTTTAAACTGTCAAACACGAAGCGGTCACCGGTGACCGCAACCTATTGTTCTATAATTGTGTCTACAAAACCGGTACTCGACGAGTTAATGCCTTGTAAGGCACCAAAGCGTACACGTGTAGCAATTCCAGTTCGCAATTAGATATCTATGTTTGTTGTGCTTGGATACGCATGGCCTGATACAAGAGAGCCGGCCTAGCCATCAGTCTAGACACCAATTATCTGACAAAAAAGGCTAGACTTGTAAGGAGAATGGATTGATATCTACCAATAAGGTACACGATTTTTTATTAATAAATTCTATGTAATTGTTGCTTTACTTACTGCCTATTACTGGGTTTTTTAAACTATTCTCAGTAGTAGCACGGAGTCTGGAATTGTGCCCGGTATATGGCAATAGGCTCACCCTCTATTACATGGGACTCATAACATAAATAGTGAAAAGTGGGTATTACATCGTACAGTGGCATAATGTGCACCTCTGCCTACCCCTTCGGGGATAAAAGGCGTGATGTTATGTTATGTAATGTTGCTTTATTTAGTAACAATTTAATTTTTTTAATCAAAACAAGATAAACGTACAACACGTTTCTTCAGCAGCCATCTACTTAAAAACGCTTAGTTATTTTTTGAGACAAACTGCCTAGCATCGCGAAAATCTTAAAGTATTTGTTGTAATCAAAATATCTCCCCTCCTTGCTAAAGTCTTCGTCCCAAATTAAAGATAATGAAGATCCTCTAACAATAATTTAGGAGCAGTAATTGCTTCTAGGTTAATACTATCTCGTGCTCGGAATAATAAGGCAACCATTCCATAATATCATAATTCGTATCCGAGGCACTTCAACATCATTAGAATGCGAACCGAATTACATATAAGGCAGTTTCATTATAGCAAACGAATCCCACACTGAGAACGGAGCTATATTTAGAGGATTTTCCCACATAATAAGGGCATAACATCGTATTTTTGGAATTATTTTCGCGTGGCAAGAAAACTCGGCTCATATCTTTTATTCTTGAAAGGGATGAGCTACGGAAATAGGCGCACTTCTATCTGAGTCTAGCAAACACTGGGACTGTGGGAGTGCGGTCCTCAATCTTGTCTTTGAAGGCATACGGGTGTACGACTCAAAAGAAGTTTTCTTGTACTGTTGTAACTCGCGTAAGCATACATTTATAAATTTTTTCGTAAATGTTGTTTAAGAGACGATCTAATTCTCGAATCCTTTTATACGTTACTTTAAAAACGTCTGAATGAATTTCTGTTAGTCTCTCTGACAAACAATATCGAAACGAAATGTACCAAAATATATTGTATTTAAGCTATGAAAACCTAATCAAACGTTTTCGAACACGTTCTTAGCAAATCTAAAATGTACCGTAACAGACACAATGATATAAGATCGCACATTGCATATAGCTTTATGTTTTAAAGTTGAAGATCGCCTTTTTCTTTTCCATGTCTATGTGATATATTGGTGAGAGTTTTCAGATAGTAGGGGACATCTTTTGTTTGTCCAAGTAGTTTCTGCGGCTGTTGTCGCGCTATGATAACGTCGACTCTAGATATGTGCCGAATAAGTTCACGTAGAGAACGTATTGTTATCTCTTTATACAGGTGCCTTCATTGTGAACATTTCTTTTAAGGAACCACCTGTATATGCTCCATGTTGTTTGTATAGTTTCAATGCAATTAATGGTAATGGCTGCTAAGTGGACACGATAAAATAAATAACGTATTTTAAGAAATTACTAACGAATATGACAGTTATGTTATGATCGTAATCTATACAAATTAATTTCCGTTTGTTAATCTCGCTAAAACTCGAAAATGGCTGAACCGATTTGACAAATTTTGTCTTGAAATGTTCGCGGAAGTCCAGGGGAACGTTTAAAAGGTGAGAAATCAGTAGGGTTTTTTTTTCTTCAGGTGGTACAATATTTGCCGGGTCAGCTAGTTTCAATTAGTAATATTGAACTTTGGACAGTGTCGGTATTCAATTACAAAAACTATGAACAGAATACTTAGGATATAAAAAATTCACTAAAAAGAAAAATGCTCTTCAGCTAGAAAATATTTATGTTTTCTGTCTCTAGGATGAAATGGGATGATGTAACCGCAATTATAAGAAACTGGAGGGTTGATCGATAATCCTCTCGGCTCTTATGTCATAGCCACGTCCATCAAATGAGGCCGGCCCCTTGGAGTATTATCGTGATTAAACCTATTTTTTTCCGATATATATAATTCCTTGTTTATCTATTTTTTGTAGCAGTAAGGAAATTATTGCAGTTAGCGAGAAAATTGCATTTATGAGGCATTGCGAGTAATAACAACTTTATAATGTAAGTCTATGGAACTCAAACCTAGTTTACAAATTCTCACTATAACTCATTTGGGTTGTGGAAAGGGATCACGAACGCAAAATTGAATATCATTGACACAAAACCCAAACAGATGGATAAGGAAAATCATTTTTCATAGAAATACCGACAGAATGGCTATAATTTGGCATGAACATTATATCCAATGAAACTTCCGAGAACTCTCAACTAATTTCGGAAAACCGTCCATCATCAGAGATTAAACTCGTGTCACTGACAATGTTGATCCTCCGACTCGAATGGAATCAAATTGCAATTTCTGGAACGATTCCAAGTCTCGACCAATGAACCGGTAGTGTGTGGATAGCAGGGAACTACATGGGTATACGTTATAGCAGGTGTATAATGTGATACCAAAAATGCATTATGCTTAATGTGTTTTTAGATTTATGTAATGCCTTTGCACAGCCTAACAATGGTGTCTATGCGTTCATGAGATCCTGGATTACATTACTTACATATTAAATCATTACTAAATTTTAAGACTTCTCTAATATTACAAGACATTATCTAACATTACTAGAGCGGATATGAAAGAGACTGTCGATAGAGGCCGCCCTAAATGAATATATAGCGACCAGATTGGCGATATTTTAAAGAAGGGTCATATTAAAAGTACCATTAACCGATGGGCATGCATGAAAAGACTGACTGTTGACGAAGCGAAAGAGGTATTTAAGAATCGGAGCAATTGGTATTCTATAGTCTCTGCCTACACCCATGGGAGACAAGCGTAAGGTTATGTATGTATATTGTGTGTACTTCTCTGATTATAACGATTAATAGCATGGAATCTAGATTAATGTTTGTAGTGAATGACAATAGGTTGCCCGAATCATAATATATCTAGCCAAAATAGGACTTGGTATACAGTCTTCCAGAACCAAACAGGTTTGTTATTATGTCATACAACAGACTTTATTTTCGATAGGTCTAGAAATTATAGTGTAGCTATTTTCAGGCACTATTCGGAAATTGAAATGTCTTTTACGTATTAGATGGACCCTCGTCATTTTGGACCTGAACCTGTCTTCTGGCAACCTTGAGTGTTAGACACGTTTTATTATATTTATTGAATTTATGTTCCCTGACGGTTATTATTACGTTAGAGAGCATTAGTAGTATGGATACCTTTTCCAAGGACACTTGGTCTAGTCTGAAAGCTTTGTTACTTATTATGAACTGTTTGCGACATTTAATCTGTACTTTGGTACAATTTTATTTGTACGACGTTTAAGAAGATAGTTATTTGTGAATCCTAAAATGACTTATATAGCAGTACATTTTAATGGGTAGATTAATGATGATGATGACAAAGAATGCTTAAGATTGCGTATAATTTTGTATTCTACACAATTTTTTGTTTGTCTTACATGAGCTGGGGCCATGATAAAGTTCAGATTAGACACATTATCTTCAGTCCAATAAGATGAGATTCAACATCTTAATATCAACAACAAAGCACAGTTCAAAAATGAACTCATTTGAAAAAGCCAACAAAAGAAAACAGCACAAAGGCAGATGTGGAGTGCTATAAAGATATAGAAGATTATTAAATTAAAATACTTTCAGCACTACTTACCGACTACTATCGGCCGAGTTTCCTCACCGTACGATCATAAACACGTACTGATGATGTTCACACCTAGAACAAAGAATAAATCTCATTACTAATGTAAAGTGGTCCTTGAGGTTATTTCATCATACTTCATAGCGTGATGCTGGCCTAGTATCACGCGATCTGCAACTTTGTTTAAAATGAGAAGGATGTTCAAGGATTTTGTGTCGTTATATTGATAGATTGGTAATACATTTTTTCCTCTACGTCTTTGGAGATTTGGTTTTTATCTATAGGGAGGGTAAGTTCTCTCTTTGACTCTGAAGCTAAAAGCTGAAATCATTGAATGACTGCTCTCGCCTGGGTGAGGCGGGCGGGATTGTCAGACAGACTCTTACTGACTAAAAACCAACCCGTTCCCACCCCGCCCTTCGAACTGGAGTCCCGGCAACCCCTTAAGTCCTCCGCGGCTCCGTATCGGCATTAGCCTTATTGGGCCCCATCCGTGGTGGTCTGATGATGGTACTGACTGTTCTGCAAGATGGTATGGCAAATAACTGGTGCTTTTTGTTGCGACAGTAGTTGTTAGGAGCAAAAATATAAAGACACTTATATGAACTTGTAACAGTACTATGTTACATTATAGCTTCTTCATCGATAGTATGGATATATAAAATTAAGATGAGTATTTAAATCTGCGAGACTTTTGCCGGAATACTGAAACGTTACTCAATTTTAAGTCGTGCTTAAATATCGTGCCATCTCTGTCATTTTACAAAGAGTTTGTAGTGACAAAACTATACTTAGTCGCGACTTAAAATTGAGTAACGTAACGTCAGATTTGGACCAACAAAACGGAAAACTGTTATACATTTCTATCCAACCTTTCAATAGAGAACAGTTGTTATTTTATACAACTGAGTTTATTCCTAAGAGGTCAACGACTGAACAATAACCTTGTATTGTATACTACATGTACATGTTTACTTCAATAACGTGTTTACATTCTGAATAACAAATATTTTATGAATAACTTAATTAGCAGTTATGTGAATAAATATGAAACTTGCCGTGTCCGTAATCGGTTTTTAGAGGGTGGCAAATCTGTATGACGTAATTCTAATGAAATATTTGAAGTTGACGGTTGAATTATTATGATTTAGATGATATTGCGTGAGCTTTAAATTTAAGTAATTATAATCTTAATTGGCATTAAGGTAGGTCGCGGTAGGTAAAGTAATCGTTGAAGGTTTTTGTGTTAAAGATTGACAACTAATTGATTAAAAACTATCGCGTCTTTTTTATTAGACAGACGTTTTTAGATGAATCTATTTTCCTAAAGTATAGTAACAAATTTGAACGATCAAACATAACATCATGCCTTTTATCCCCGAAGGGATAGGCAGACTTGCACATTACGGCACTAAAAGCCACTGTAGGTACAATGTAACACCTACTATGTTATGAGTCCCAAGTAATAGGGGGTGAGCCTAATGTCATATACCGGGCACATTTCCAGACTCCGTGCTACTACTGAGATTTTTTTTTTACAAAATCTAGTAATAAGTTTGCCCGATCTAGGAATCCGCCCGATCCAGGAATCTAACTCGAGAGCCCTTGCCCAGCAGAAGCACTGGTGACTACTTGGGCAACGAGGCAGTCGATTTTTTTACTACACAGACTTTATTATAATAATTTTTCTCCTGAACATCATCATCATCATCATCATATCAGCCACATGACGTGTACTGCTGAACATAAACTTTCCCAATGACTTTTAGATAGGCCGGTTGAAAGCGGCCTACATTTGAACACTTGGGCGATATTCCTATTGAAAAAAATAAATAAAACACCATAAATTACTTGGTCATGGACTACTCGACCAAAAAGACAATCGAAACTCATAGGCTTACATTTTCTTATTGTTACAAAATATTTTTACAATACTTGATCGCTTCACCCCTGATTGGGCATCGAAGCCCCGTCCTTGAGCGAGACATAAGACAAATTCAATTATTTATCTGTTCAGTGGCAACAGACAGACGGAAACTAAATAATTGGATGTAGCAACTGCTAACTAAATTACTTGTGACAGATTTGACAATCTTATTACTTAATACTTAATGGATTTCTATCGTAGTTTTAACATTTTAATTTTTATTGTATTGTTTAAACGTAAAGTCTGGTATGATTATTAGAACTAACTATGGTATGGTATTTTGTAGAACTTTCATTATTTATTTATTTTAATGATCGTCCCATTGCAGACCTCCCCTCCTTCCTATCCTCTCCTCTCTGAGCACAGCTTTCTGCGACCAATCCTTGGATTAATTGAACTTTCATTATTGGATTTAAAATGAGAATCTAGGTTAGTGATATATTTATCTTAGATTTCACAGGTGCTTTTAGGAACTTATAGTTATACCAAAATACATACATAATACATAACTTCACGCCTGTCTCCCATGGCGGTAGGCAGAGACTAGGGAACGCCAATTGCTACGATTCCTACATACCTCTTTCGCTTCATCAACAGTCTCTTTACAAGTCATTCATAAATCAAATCATATACACACAGCAACAAATAAAACACACAAGCCCAAATTAAATATAACAAAAAAGTAAAACCAATATGGTATTGTAAGCTACAAATAATAGAACAAAATAAGCAAAGGATAACAAAAAGTACGAAACGACAACGGTTTTAATACATACCGGACCGATTTCTCTGGAGAGCCGGGACTTGTGGTCGATTTACAAACAACGTCCACTGTACTGAATAAAGGACAAAGTAGGCACTGTATACCTAAGGCTAGGATAGGATGCGGTCAGATTCTATACTCATAGATTGAATAGAAGTTAAACAAAACAAGAATATACCTACGGCGTTTTTTCTTATAAGATTTTGTTCTGCCTCGTTGGCCGAATGGTCGCAATTGCGACTGCCGGGCAAGGGGTCTCGGGTTCGATTCCCGGGTCGGGTAGAGTATTACTGGGTATTTAAAATCTCAGTAGTAGCACCGAGTCTGGAAATGTGCCCGGTATGTGGCAATAGGCTCACCCCCTATTACATGGGACTCATAATATAAATGGTGAAAAGTGGATGTTACATTGTACAGTGGCATTAAGTGCCGAAATTTGCACCTCTGCCTACCCCTTCGGGGATAAAAAGGCGTGATGTTATGTTATGTTATGATATGTCCGTTTTTATACTGTGTAATGGCAAACAAATTTTCTGCTTAGTTTTATAAAAACAAGCATTTTTTTATATACGTATCAAATAGTAGTTTTGCTTTTAATATTTTAAATACGAACGGTATTTGTAACCGCAGAGATATTAGCATAATTTCAACGTATTTTAAACATACCAGCTCAATATTTTAAAGAAATATTGACTTTACAATGCTTGCTTTAAACACAACACACATTTACAAGCGACTTTACGGTCAAACACCCAGCCATACATATTTTATTTCATACTAAAATTGTATAACAACAATAATTCTTCTCTTCTCGATCTTTCCGAACTTAATGGATACAAAAGAAGGGAAACAATGACTTTAGTGATAAACGGGTAACCGGGGCTCCGACTCGACGAGCAGGAGAAGGAACGGGGTGGTTTTTAGTCAGTAAGAGTCTGACACTCCCTCCCGCCTCACCCAGGCGGGAGCAGTCATTCGATGATTTTCCCCCCTTAAAAAAAAAATAGTGATAGCAGGAATTGAGTTAAATTTTTGGACTGTATCTTTAGTTTTCGGTATATGTCGAAATATTGAAGTCTACCTACCTGACTGCTTTTCAAAGAAGACGCACTTACAACGTGAAGTATATTTAAGTGGGTCTCAATTTCTTCGGAACAGTGGTCTTTCTATTCGCGTGATTCACCTATATAAGTCTTTTTTTAATTTTTGGTTTCATTCATGGTTATTATGTACTGGCAGATATATAATTACAATCTGTTAAAGAAATATATGATTCATCCGTGTGATTACAATGATCTCATTTATAAACTAACTGCCAACCAACACGTCACTACCAATAAAGGCGTAGCTAATTCATTAAGCTGTATTAGATTTCGCTAATGTCTGCTATTTCAATAAAATAGATAAAACACATTCCTTGCACTGTTTCTAAGCAGAAGGTTGTCTTAAAAGACTTATCTAATGGGGCGAACCGGACGATTGCAAGTGGTTAGGCAGAAGTTCAAATAATTTTATTTTCTCTAGTTAATATTTTTATTTTGACTTTTTTTTTTTTTTTTTTTTAAAAAAAACGTTGCCCCACACTAGGATTTTCTCCTGTGTCGTGGGTGCGTTTACAAACATACAAGTTCACATACACAGTGCCACCCAGACCCGAAACAACAATTTGTGGATCACACAAAGTGTTGTTCCGTGCGGGAATCGAACCCGCGACACGTTGCACGGCAGCCGGTTGCCCAGCCACCGCACCAACCGTGCAGTCATTGGTGCAGTTGATTCCATTTATGAGATAGACATAGAGGGCAAATAAGCAGACAAATCACCTGATGGTAAGCGAACTAAAACCACATTAACTTTATTGGATTATGGACCTTTGTATTTATTTATTTATTTATTTAAGGGACAAAAAACAGTTACATATTAAGATTTTACATAAAAGTTTTACATTAAACAACAACTACAATAAATATGTAACCCACACCATTGCCCACAATTTAGTATAAAATATAACGGCAATAATGACCGTGTTGCGGTAGTGTTATCGTAATTTAATTATATTAAAATTTACTAAATATTGATACATAAAAGGATACAACAAAAAACCATTGTACATTGTACTTATGATTAAGAAAAAGAATACTAATTAATAGCCAACCATCACTGCAGCAACCCAGCAGTCAGAAGCTCCACGGCCTGCTTTCTAAATCTATGTTTTGAAAGACAAAACATGTCCAGACCCATGAAATGCAAGTTGTATATTTCCACTAAGCGACGAAGAGGCGCGCGCGCCCCGGCATTAGTCCTGCACTTGTTAGTGTGGAACAAACGCGGAACCCGCACCCCTCTCTGTATTACAGACCTAGGAACTGCGTAAAATAGTTGATTGGTCAAGTCCATGCAGTCAAATCTATTATTACACAAGCCATGAAGCATCATAACAGCCAAAAGCAAACGTCTAGACTCTAGACTTAGCATATTATAACGTGTAAGCAACTGTTCGTATGGAAGTTTTGAATGATAACATTTGAAATTTACAGATCGCAGGAACTTTTTCTGTACCATTTCCAATCTAGAACTATACTTATTATAGAATGGATTCCAAATTACAACAGCGTACTCAAGCTGTGACCGTATCAGGGTTTTGTGTAACTGCAAAAATGTAGAGGGGCGCACAAAGTCACTGGCCGATCGCAATACGAAACCAAACATCTTAAAGGCCTTACTGATTATATTATCAACGTGAAGGTCGAAATGCAGACAAGAATCCAAAGTTACACCTAAGTCACGAACATAGTTGACCTTCGCTAATCCAACATTATTTATAGAGTAATCGTACTGAATTTTGTTTTTATTTTTTGTAAATGAGATGGAGTGACATTTAGGGAGGCTGAGAAAAAGTTTGTTACTATTACAGTATACGTTAAGTCTGTCAAGGTCTTCCTGAAGTCGCAAACAGTCAGACTCAGATCTGCAAGACATGTAGATTTTAATGTCATCAGCATACATTAAAAAATGTGTGTTGACGAAACACTGTCCAATGTCATTAATAAAAATTATAAATAGAAGGGGGCCTAGAATCGATCCTTGAGGAACACCAGATTCAGCAGTCACGAGGTCCGATTCATAACCATTTACGACGACTTTCTGTGTCCTGTTATATATATAGGAAGCAAACCAGCGGAGCAGATTGCCTCGAATTCCATTATATGCGATTTTCTCCAGAAGCAGTGCATGATCCACCTTGTCAAATGCCTTCCGAAAATCCGTATAGACGGCATCCACCTGGACTCGCCGATCCATATTCTCAAAAAGAAAATTAGTAAATGTCATAAGATTCGTAACAGTGGAGCGACGCTTAACAAAACCGTGTTGTTCAGGTATGATAAGTGGGTGAATATGAGAATATATAGCACCATGTACAAGACGTTCAAAAACTTTAGACAAAGTGGAGAGAATGGAAATAGGGCGGTAGTTCTCCACATTGCTCCTGTCACCACTTTTATAAACAGGAGTAACAAAAGCACGCTTCCAAACAGCCGGGAAGACACCCTCCTGCAGACACTTATTAAATATTATATGCAAGGCAGTACATAGATTGTCACACGTTTTTATGAAAAGACATGGTGGTAGACCATCAGGTCCAGCCCCCTTAGAAGAGTCAAGAAACTTAAGCGTCGTGCGGACAGCCTCCCTGGGCAAGCAAATTTCAGATAGGCTTGTAGAGTTTTCTGCATAGTGATGAGATGGCTGCCATGTATTCGGATCAAATGAAGAAGACTCATACACTGAACAAAAAAAAGATGAGAACAAATTGCATATTTCAGTGGCGTCGTCGGTATGAACGCTTCCAAAGTACATACTGGCAGGAAAATCAGCTTTATTTTTTTTTGAGGAAACATAAGACCAAAAGTACTTAATGTTCTTAGGAATACTGTCTTCCACCGAATTAATATAGCTTTTATAACACCTAACTGACTCAACCCGGAACAGTTTACGATAATTAGAGAATTTAACATAATCAGAGATGTTTCCGTACCTTTTCCACTTGACCCAGGCGCGCTCCTTTACCCTAAACATTTTTATTAAAGAAGGTGAAAACCAGACGGGGAAGGTCGAATTTTTAGGGCGAGTTTTTGGAACGTGTGATCTAATGACTCCATACAGTATCTCATAAAATTCTTCGACAGCCCGCTCAGCGGGGTGATGAGAAAGAACAGCAGTCCAGTCAACCTCCTGAAGATCAGCGTTAATATTATCATAGTTCGCCTTATAATAATTGTATCTGGGAGCTGAGAGGCATCTCATAGGGGAAAATTGCGTGCCCAGACAGACCATTGCAGAGAAAGGCGGATGATGAACATCTGGCTCCAATAGGGGACAGCAAGGTACTGTCTGGCATTCTGCGTTGGAGATTAACAAATCTAGTATCCGGCTCAGCCTGTTCCTCGCAGTATTAAATTGCAACCCATTAGTGATACTCATGAAACTTTGCAAAATCAAACCGAGCGAGCTCGAGGTTTCAGCTATTGTGTGATTTTGCCTATTTAGCCAATTGATTTCAGGGAGGTTAAAATCTCCGAAAGCAAAGAATGATTCACAAGCTGGGTCAATTGCCAAACACTGCAGTACCTCTAGGTAGCCGGCATATATGTCTTCACATGTGCGAGGCGGGATGTACACCGCACTAATGATATGTCGGGTCTTATGCCGGGACGCAGGCAATTGTATTATCACCTGTTCGATCCCGGCATGATTGAATTCAGTAGACAGCAATGTGGGCCGGAGCTCACGCAATACAGCCACCAAAACACCTCCCCCATCCCGTTTCTTCGTCATGATTCTATCACGATCGCATCTAAAGACGATGTAGCGACCGTCTATAAACTCACTATCGTTTATACCAGGAATTAGCCAGGTTTCAGTGAGTACGATAACGTCATAAGTGTATGACATTATGTTCATATAAAGTGTGTGTAACTTTGTGCGGATTCCTCTACAGTTCTGGTAGTACATAACTACATTATTAGACGACATTATTGACCACAGTGAGACTATACAGTATCAGTAAATCAATACAACAAGACAGCAGATGTATTAGTAAGTACGTAAAATTATAGTACATATGTAAGTGTGAAGGATTACAAAACAATATTATTAGTTGCAGCTTAGAATTATATGAAAAATACAGATGTAGTAGCCACAAAATAATAATAATTATAAACGGTCGCATACAGCATAGCAAATGCAAGTTATAAAATATATGGCTAAATAATATCACAGCAAGATTAGTCATCATTTCAGTTGCACTCACGGTACATATAAGTAAAGGATGTGATAATTTACGAGTCTTAGACATATACTGGAGATGGTCGAGACCATTAAGCACACTATTTGTCACCAGGAACAATTTTCTTGAGATCTTCTTCAGAACGTATCGCGTATGCGGAGGATCCATCCCGCTCACGAACAAGTATAGTAGCATTCCGAATCCATACATACTTAAATCCATTTTTACTCGCAACTTTCTTAGCCTCACGAAACAAAGATTTGTATTTAAGGGTGAGATGCTCATTTAGGTATACAGATACTGAGGCGCCTGAGATTCCGAGTTGATCAGTTTTGATGCTCTTCACTTTTCTGTAGGCGCTAAGCAAATTGTCTCGAGTTATGCGTCTTTTAAATTCAACTATGACATTTTTTGGCTTCTTGTCTTGTTGTTGCGCATGTGGGACCCTATGTATGGATACAATGTCATCATGAGATACGGGCCAGTTTACAACGTGACCAATGGTTTCCACGATAAGATTCAAGTTTTCATTGCGTTTTTCAGGTAAATTACAAATTTCTATATTACATTGACGTGCATGCTGCTCCATGGAGTCAATTTTTCCTACTAGTGCACCAATAGTTCGCTGAGAACCAACCTCCTCCTGCAGGCGCCTCTTGAATTCCCGATTCTCATCCTCCAAAGTCTCAAGGCGGGTCTTCATATTCTCGAAACTTGAGCTGAGGAACTGGACGGACCTCTCAAGTTCTAGGTTAGTCCTTTGGATGCTAAGATTCTGCTGCTTCAGTTCGGTCACCTGTGCGACCAACTTGCCGAGAACAATGTCCTGATCAGCCTTCCAAGACTCAAGCAATTCCCTCAACTCACCAATACGATCCGGCGTGGTGTAGCTATCATCACCGCGAAGGCGCTTGCTACTTTTTCTTGTTGAAGCATCAGCGTCAGCAGCGACAGCGGACGCGGCCGGGGAAAGATCGGGCTCCGAGCACGTTTCGAGCAGTGCAAAGGTGTTAGGAGAAGTTTGTTTTGGCGACCGCACCTTGCGAGGCATGGTAGGCAGTTATCGAACAAACAATATAATACAAAACTAAAAGAATTTAAAAAATACTAGTACTAGTTCTATTTCCTGTTACTAGGTATAGTGCGATATAGGGGTTATAATTTTCATACAGTCGATTATGTGTTCCAGTGGCCCAATGTGCACAACAGCCGGCACGGACGACGCGTCGCGGGCTCGCGCCCCACAAAGTGCAAAACTTTTTGAGGGTTTTTCAACAGTTTTTAAAATCTTTATTACACCTTGGTATTAAGTGTGAGCTCACAAAAACACTCTGTCCCACTCTAACTCCTCCCAGTAGGCGTAGATCACACGTAACAACACCACACGAGGAACAAGGAACCGAAAATTTCGACGAGAGCCAATCACGACACCAGTCACTTGTAAAGCATTTTTATCTGAATTAATCGCGTAGCCTAAAGTAGGCTGCGCGACATCGCCGGGACCGCGCACGCTGCTTATGAGGAAGAATCCCTTAGTATGTCTCACGATAGTTATTATAAAAATATTTTTATCTGGTGTATTTTATGATCATATGAAAGGAAGAAGGGAAATGATAAAAAGAAACTAAAAAAGTATGCAATGGATGAACTTCGTGCAGCCTCTTTAGTACCTCTAGGCTTAAATCATTTTGACTCCTGCATTAAATTCACCGAGCGAAGTGGAAACTGTCGGTTTTTTATTAATATATTTATTTATTATTATTTATATCTTTTGATTTATTTCGTTTTGGAATCCAAGACAGTTATTGTGTCACTGGAATGCGCCGGATTTCAGTGTTCCAGTATTTTCATGGTTGTATCTATTGTATGTGTATACAAACCAAAACTGGTGCTTTGGGAGATTGCAGTTGGCTAGGCCCAATAAAAAAAGCGAACTAAAACCCAATAAAAATCTCACGTATAGTTTCTGCTTGTCCCGATGGGGCAAAAGCATGTTTCTGTAAACTGAAGGTCACTATACAAAAGTGTGTGGGACTGTGGGATGTGTATGTGTTAGCCCAATTGCGTCACACTGTGGGCAGTGTACAACAAATATTGAAATAGTACCCAACACGAACAAACACAGTATTTGTTCAAACTAATATAAACCTAATAACTATTGTATTAAGGCCACAAGTAGGTTTGTTTAGTCGTTGTTTTAATTTCTAATTATTATATTAATTGAAGAATAATTTCACTACCAATACAAATGGAAGATAATTATAGATGTAACATAAACATAATAATTACATCGTAATAATAAACTGCCTTGTTGGCCAGATGGTCGCAAGTGTAACTGCCGGGCAAGGGGTCTCTGGTTCGATTCCCGGGTCGGGCAAAGAATTACTGGGTTTTTAAAAAATGTCAGTAGTAGCACGGAGTCTGGAAATGTGCCCGATATATGGCTATAGGCTCACCCCCTATTACATAGGACTCATAACATAAATAGTGAAAAGTGTGTTACATTGTACAGTGACATTAAGGGCCGAAATGTGCACCTCTGCCTTCGGGGATAAAAATGCGTGATGTTATGTTACGTTATGTATTAATAAATTAAGGTCCCTTCTTTACGACCGTATAAAGTAAAAAAGTTTACCAAGATATGATGATTATTGAATGAGGATGTATGAGTACCTGAGATTTTTAATGCTAATGGATTGACCAAGTACAGAGCCTTTATCAAGTATGTTATTATAAAGCAGTAAATACACAAAGAGTACCAAATTGCGTAGGGAACTCTGTTCAAAATAAATTTGTAAAGAAAAAAGAATGAAAGTCAATTACCGTGCTCATAAAACGAGACCTTGCAGTACAAATAGCAGTGGCTGTATTAGGCAAAGTCCTTCAAAAACTCAGCCGTACTCCAAGTACCGACTAACCTTACACCCAGAACACACGTATTAAAACAAGGAAGATACACGATATTATGCATCGTTACGCAATATTGTGCGTTATCCCAAAGCACAAAGACTGCATATCGATTGTGTTCACGCTGCGTACATGTTTGTAAAACAGTTGATTGAAAATTGTATTTAAGACAATGTAAACAAGATTGTTTTTCCTTTATGCTACGTCACTGGGGTACGATCTGACGTACGCTGTTTGGTTTCGGAGATCTAAAAGACAATGTTTGAATATTTATTTTATTTCAGAACATCATACCTTTTCTTAAGAAGAAGTATAAGTACGTAAAAGTACTTATGTATTTGTAGATACTACCTTCTTCTTGCTAATTTATTAGACTTATGGCGTAAAGAGATCGATGTACAAACAACAAATAATTCTGGAGTTTTTATGATGCTTGTTTCATCATGAAACCAGAAAGATAATACGATTCGATTCTTGAAACATTTCACCCAGAATTAACTTATTTACAGCATGGTGTGTTGTATTTTTAGACTTTTTTTTAAATCTCATTTATTGTAAGGGATTTTTGTACACATTTTGTGACGATGTCAATCCCATCGTGCTTCTACATAACGAATGTATTTACAACTTAAACAAAATAACTTAGTCTACTTATCTATTTAATATAAAGGAATATATAATTTTCGCAGCTTCAGATGTAGGCTTACCTAAAATACCATTAAACATTCCAACATCCATTGCTGACAGTTTCATGGAGTTGAGAAGTGTATTTCTCTTATTTGTATGTCGGACACATTCCACCAACACATGGTGCACGTCTTCTATTCTGCCACATATCTCACAATTAGGGGAGTCTGAATTTTCAGACTTGAATTGATTTATTTGTACTAAAAAGCCTAACCAACCAAGCTTACACCGCAGTACTAAATAAAATATGCGGGAAAAACCACGATCCAAAGTTAATTGAAGAAAAAAATGACGTCACGCAATTCAGATCCTTTTTGCTTGCTAAATTAATCCCAGCATAAAAGTAGTGAATCAGCTAAATGAGTCACTCTCATCTTGATCTCACGGTTTAGCGATTACCCACTGTGCGTCATATTAGGACTTCATTGGCTACCTTATTCGTTTTATATAAATCAATTATTGACATTTGTTAAATATGTTCTGATGGAACGGGCTGGAACTGTGTTCAAAAGTTCCTAAAAAAATAAAATAAAAAAGAACAACAAACATAGGCTGAATTGTAGTTTTTAAATTTAAACGTTTTGGCTTTACTTATTTGGTAAATAAAGATGGCGTTACAATCGAAAAAGGAACACACGTAATTATAGTGTTTCAAGTGAGTTACAGAAGATGGGGTGTTATATTTTAAAATGAAGTCACTATTTTAGACCAAAGTTGTTTACACGAATGAATGCCTACAATAAATAATTATTTTATACAGATACAAAAGCAACTTACAAGAACCAGACCCAGTAAAAAAGGAAAAAAAAATATATAGAAAAAGATGCAAAGTCCTACATCAACAACAATTTTCCCATAAAATAAATCTATAAATGCAGATTATTTTCTAATTAAACGAAGGACCTTTAGCACTAGCCCTGAAGCAACAAACGTCAAACTGACTGCAAACAGCGCTGGTATTTGATCAAGAGATTACTTGTGTACAGTCAGCACAACTATTTACTATGCAGGTAAGAAAATAAAGATTGACTTAGTGAGACAGCTATTATTGTACTAAATTATATAGTATTTAACCAAGCCACATTTTCTGTAACCATTGGTCGGTTCACTACCAATGGTTACTGTCTGCGTACTGAATTTTTGACTGCATGGTTGGCGTGGTAACTAGGCTACTGGCTGTATCGCGGTTTCGATTCCCTCAGGGAACAACTCTTTGTGTTTTTATAATAACTATCGTGAGACATACTAAATTAAGTAAAAACGGGGGTTACTCACGTGAATATACTGAGAAAAGCTACGCGACGTCGCCGCGACCGCGCACGCTGCTCATGAGGAAGAACCCCTCTGTGGTTCGAAACTAGTAGAGCTTTTCTCAGTATATTCACGTGAGTAACCCGCGTTTTTACTTAACTCTTTGTGTGCTCCACAGATTGTTGTTCTGGGTCTGGGTGTCATATGTATGTGAAATTGTATGTTTGAAAACGCACCAACGACACAGGAGCAAATCCTAGTGTGAAGCAACATATTTTATTCAAAGAAAAATAAATTATTATTTTATTAAGTGCTTAGTACATAGCTGTGCGGACTGTACCTACATTTAAAGTTAAAGTACCCCGAGCCATGTTGGCGAGAAACTTAATTATTGACTATCCCACGGGAATCTTCCAGCTTTCGATTTAGGAAAATGTTTCGAGTTCGTTTAATTAGTGAACAGTACTTAAATTCTTTTGTTGTTTGTTACAATGAAAATAAATGTTGAAATATTTCCAGGACTCTTCTAATAATTATTAAGCATAATTCCTTCAGTCTTGGTTTAAAAGTAATTTAAATTTTATCAATTTACTTGTTGAAATGATTAAATAAAAAAACTCTAAGTCGACTTTTTAATATTTTAGAATGATTCTGTACCGTTATTTTATATTTGTCCGACGGGGAAGTAGCTCTACTTACACGGACTTATCATTTTTATAATCAGACGTTAGGTGACATAAAAATTCTTCCTTGTCTCCAAAGGAATGCACTTCGAGCCGTGAGAAACGCTAAGAAAGAAAAAAGTACTTACACGTAAATTAAGATTGTTTTATCATTGGCAAAGAAGAAAAAAATCACACAATTTTAACTCTAAAATTAAGTTAATTAACTCTAATACTGTAAAATTAAGGAAATTGCTACTTTTTCCCATTAAATCCTGGAAAATAAAGAGAATTACTTATATAATCATGGTTTTTAAAGTAAAGCATCTCTTTTATTTTAAAAACTAATAAAATAAGTTAAAACCTAATTTCTTCACGGTACGTTCTTAGTTTCTTATTCTTAGTTTTTTCCAGCACTGTATAATCCTAATTGATTTTTAAAACAGGTCAGGTTAACTCATCTTCTTTTAATTTTTTATCTTCATAAGAACCAGGTACAGAATGCTAATGGTTCTTTTGTTAGAAACGCTTTCTATTCATATTTATTTTAGAAAAATCACTATTGAAGTTTATGGGAAAGAAAAAGTCTCCGTAATAAACCAGTTCCAAGAATATATAGTACTATTAAAAT